CTTAAGGAGACAAGATATCCAATTCACCTCCTCGGCACCTTGCTTGTCATAAGACAAAGTGATTTTTTTCTTCTGTTGCACGCAACCTTAAATCACATATAACTAAAATATACACACGCTAATACACAAAAATAAATAAAATTATTTGATTTTAATTTAAAATTTAAGATGTTTTAGTGGTATTACTTTGCAAGTTTTTATTCCTGTGAACAAGAGTATAACCCTGCTGGCATGATGTGAGTTACTCCACAAGAGCCCCAAACAGAGAGCAGGCTTGTAAGCATGTCAGCATCGTAAGGTCCATTTTTCTAAAGACTAGTCTATCTTATCAAATGAACATATTGATATTCCTATCACATTCTGGAAGAATCTACTCTGGTTAGATGAGAAAAATAAACAAGGAATTCTGGGATATAGAGAAAGATTTGTTTGGAGATACCACGTTATATTAAACATGGTAAACAGTTTAAATTCTGTTCAGATGATCACGATTTTTATTAGCACTCATCTTAGTTATTCCTCCTCCTGAAAACGTGATGTATGGTTTCTAAAAAAAAAAAATAATATTTATTTTTCAAAATGTTAAGAGTTTGAATTTTGAAAGCGAATCGAAAGAATATCGTGTTTGCAACAGAACATAGAGGCGGGGATATAATGCCGTTGAGTATTTTTCTTTCTTTTCAAAAGGAACTGGTATCTTGTTAAGAGATAATGCTATAGTGAAAAAAGAAATGTCGATTATTGTCAAATATGAGGTGTAAACTTGAAAGTATCTTTTAGAAATCTGAAACTGAATCGTGATTGAAGTCTTACCCATGACAATGATCCAAAACAGAGAATAATCTAAAAGTTTTATCGTGACTTTCTAAGCATAGCAGAAAGCTGCATTTAGAGTGCACCCAGTGAGAATCGTTCTCAATATTCAGTCGAAATTAAACTACAGATGCACGCTTGCTAACCGTTACACTACATTGTAGTAGCTAAAACGATTTTCTAATCGTGGACGTAGCACAAGGCTGAATACTTGGAACTTCCAGTGAGGATCGACCTCACTACTCATCTGCAATTGTGTACCGAGAGAGGCTTGCTAACCATTACACTACGTCAAGGTACCCTTAATGACTTTTTAAGCGGAGCTTAGGTGTGGCACAAAGCCGAATGTATGGGCACCCAATGAGGATCGAAATCACTATTCAGTAATAATTGATCTAATGATACACGTTATCTAACCATCACACCACTGCCTTAATTTTCTAAGCGCAGCTTAGATGTGGCACAAGGCCGAATGTAGAGGGCACCAAGTAAGAATAAAACTCACTACTCATTTGTAATTGTTCTAACGAGAGAAGCTTGCTAACCATTACAACACGTTGAGTTACCTCCAACTTTTAGGTATGTATAGTTAAGTTCTTAGGCCCCCTCTTCTGTTAGATATTCGCGCGAATTGTCCGTCAGCGGGCCGGTTATGAATAAGAGACAACGTGTCATGTAGACCGTCCCTGGCGTAAGAAGAGTCAGTAAGAAACTTCGTCTATTTCCTGTTCTAAGAAAACTATCTTTAGTTGAAGAAACTGGACTAAAAAAATGTATTTTCTTTTTTTAAAAAACACTTGAACAGATTCTGGAATATAATATATTTACACTTTATTTGCTCTCTTCCTTTCCTTTATTTTTATTTGTGAAGGAGTTGATTTTTACATGGCTAAATTTTACCTTCCGCCCCTCTCCTATAGGAAGAACTGTAAAACCTGTAAGAACAAAAAAATTATGAAAGAAACAATGTACAATAACTTAAAAATTATGCCAACGGTCTATGAGGCGAGAACGTAAGGAAACTACTTTTAAATTTCTTCTATATGCTGTGTCCGTTCAGAACGTTGGCGATCATGGCTCTTCAAAATTTCCTGTCCTTTGTAGGTTTTAATAAATGCTCTCTTTTTGTTATGTCTCCTAACCTTTGCTCTACCATCCATTCACGCAAGCTCGCTAGGAAAGTTATGCATTGTTTTCCGCTATCCTTCTTGCCTTCAGTCTGTCATATGAGTGTCAAATTTTCCAAACCCTCCTTTCTCATTACGTGTCCTAGAAATTTCAACTATATCTTTCTGATGTTAAGTATAAGTGTCCTTTTTGTTTTCATTTACTCCAAACTTTGTCGTTGGTCACATGTTCGGTCCATGAAATTTTCAGCATCCTTCTGGGGAACGACATTTCTGTTGCTTCAGTTCTCCTCTTCATCTATGAAGAGATTGCCCAGGATTTACTACCATATAAGCGGACTGAGATTTGAGGTCTCGAATCCAATCCTTTCTCACCGACGTAATATGGCTTCTCTCTGTCTTTTCTATAAATATTTTCATGGCATCTGCTCTGACGAGCTATTTTCACTGGTGCCCTGACTGCATGAATTTAAGTTTGCTTCTAGGTTGCCATTTCGGTTCCACCCTTTTACTGTAGAAACAGTTACATGTAACCGCCACTCCTACTCGAACAGCTTCTTCCCTCACACTTCCCAACAGCGGAACTCCCTTCCTCTTACTTGCTTCTCTGATAACTATAATCTTCAAAAATTTAAATGAAATGACAATCGACATCTTCTGATGCATTGATCCCCGTTCTTTTTTTTAGCCTCCTCCGTTCTTCTTTTTATCCTTTCCTCAATCACTCCTTATAACCAGTCTTTTCCCTTACTTTCACTCTCTGTAGCCTCTTGCGTACTGGTGGCATTCCAGTCTTAATTGGGGTGGAATGCTTAAGAAAAAGTAAATCTCACTTCACACCTCAAGGGAACTCGTATATTCGTACCATCGCTAAGGATGCGATGCTACAATGACAGTCTGTTCTGTGTATTGCTCCAAAAAGCACATGACTTTTACTGCTTTACCAGTCAAATACAAAAAAATGGTGTTTCATCGCCATAGCTGGATTGGAGCTGACCCGTCCTCATTGTCCAAACTTGAAGGAATTAAAAAAATAAATGGGTTACCTGACTTTATGGGTGATTAATGAAACTTCAGCTTATCCTGAAACGGCCCATCAACAAAAGTTATTTCAGTTGTTGCCTTTTAAAGGCAGATAAATAATTAATATTTTTCTGTTTATATTTCTAAGATGAGGTATTATGTACACTATTTACATTATTCGGAGTATTGTTCTCCATTGAGCTCTGGTAGAAACATGCAATGATAACAGCAAAAATTGCAATATGAGCACTGGTAAAAATGATTACTGAAGACATCACGAGTTTTTATGTCCCACCATACAGCCACTCTTTTCACACACGATACGTTGCTAGTCTCTCGCTATTATATCACTATTTCCATGGCAAATGTTCAAAGCCGCTATATTCCTTATTCTGCCAGTTCAGACATTCGCAAACTCCAACCACCATGCAACATACATAGAGCTGCCTCATCGCCATAACTATTTGTATTCTTTTGGTTAACAGATAGTTCTACACAGACACCTTCTTTTTGTTGAACAGACTCCCTAGAACCTGTTTCCCCGATCGCTACAATCTTCATGACTGGGACCAATCCTAATTCTATTCTACATATCCCTATAATATTCACTTCTTGGGCAACAGTATAAAATAAAAACAATATATCTTTTACATACTATGTCATAATTTCTCTCGATTTCATTTTATCCCTTCTCTATCGCTTTCACATTTTTCTTGTTCGAAAATTTATGACACAAACAAATTGCTTTACGACGCAATGATTAACAAGGTAATATTTTCTCCGAAAGATTTATGCTCTGCTCGACGACAAACGAAACTAATATATCTACCCTATAATTTCAGCCAACGGCCAGGAAAAAAAAAACAATATAAATTTAATAAGGATAATAATTTAATAACGAACACAATGAAAGCCAGATGAATTAAAGAATACAAAATAGACATTTATAGAATGTGAATTTAGCGAGATATTAAAATACGAAATATTAATGAGGTGTGAGTTACCACGAAGCAAATGATTTCATTGCAGACAGAACTGATAAAGGTGACCAACATGTTCTGCTACCAATGCGTTAAGGAAAACAGACACAGCTTATCCTGAAACGGCCCATCGACAAAAGTTATTTCAGTTGTTACCTTTTAAAGGCAGATAAATAATTAATCTTTTTCTGTCTATATTTCTAAGATGAGGTATTATGTACACTATTTACATTATTCGGAGTATTGTCCTCATCTTTGACGCCATATTTATTACAAAGTTTCGGCCGTTGTACTCTCTGGCCTTCTTCAGGTGGTTGGAATGTCGAACTAAATTCTTTATTTCGCTCACTGGTGTAGACTGTTCTAGTTCTTCGTGTCATGTCTAATGGATGTCAGTTATTAGTTATCTCCTGTCAATTCCCCTCTCCAAGTTCTCTACTGAGCTCTGGTAGAAACATGCAATGATAGCAGCAAAAATTGCAATATGAGCACTGGTAAAAATGATTACTGAAGAAATTAGGTTTATAATACCCAGAAATTCCTACACAGATGTCCTCAGTGGCATATGGCACAGTGGATAAAGGCGTTAGTTAGATCCACTGACACAAAGAGTGTGCGTTTAATACCTGGTTACGGCAGTGGAGAACTTGGAGATGGAAATTAACAGGAGATAACTGATAACTGACATCCATTAGACATGGAACGTGGAATTAGTACAGTCTATCCCAGAGAGCGAAATAAAGGGTTCAGTTCAACATTCCAACCAGCTGAAGAAGGCCGGAGCGTAAAACGGCCGAAACGTTGTAATAAATATGGCGACAAAGATGAGGACAATAGTCCGAATAATGTAAATAGTGTAATCTTTTTCTATGTTCCGTGTCAATTTAGGACGTGGCGATTATGGCTCTCCATAACATACTGTGATTTCTAGTTCTTAGTAAGTTTTTTTTTATTGTCTTTTCTTTTTGATATCACTCCTACTGTTCTGTCGACCATTTACATAAGCTCGTTATGTAGGTTACTCATCGCTTTCCTCTGGGCCTCGTGATTTCAAGCTTACGGCAACATCACGTTGAAACACCGCATTTTGTATGATCACCGAATTTAAGCAACGTCGAGCCTGGTCAGTAACTAGAAGGGTGACCGCTTGGAAATACCAGGTACTGTAAGCAAGGATGTGCGTGTGGTGTAATGGATAATGGCTCAGAATTTTTAACCGGAGAGCCGAGTTCCAATTCGGGTTTGGTCCGTTATATTTACTTAGGCACAAATACCCTTGGGAAACGTATGGATCCACCTTTTCTCCATCTAGCTATAGGTTAATCACTAAACCAAAAAATATTTACTTGCTTTAAATAACATGCAAAGGAAGTGAAGTGAAGTACGGAATAATATAATAGCGATTTACTAAACGTAGATTATAGGTGGCACAGGGCCGCATATATGGAGTGCCATGTGAGGAACAAAATCAATACCCAGTTGTAATTTATCTTGTGTGGCAATCTTGCTAACCATTATAATATGTCAAAATAGCTATGGTATAAAAATATCATACCTCAATATGATCACAATTTATTTAAAGGCTTAATCTCAACTAATCCGGGTAGGTAATTAGTAAAATGGACGGGTGGATAAGCTATGCTTCAAACAATTCATAATTAAGTTTACGGATGAAAACAAATATATGATGTCTTAATTCTCGGAAAATTTACGATGAAGAACTGTTACAATATTCGGAGCCTAGGCCAGGATGGCAAGCGACTGACGGAAGACCCCGTGAGCGTGAGAATCTAACAGTGACGAAATGCTTTTGTGTAAGTTCTCGATCCTTTTCTTTGGCTTCTATGTGCGTTCTCCCAAGACGTTTATGGGTCTCAAAAAATGCTTCCAATTTAAAAATATTTTCTCACTTTAAATACACTGATAAGGGTCCATGAACTGTAAAAAAACATAATCACCATTTTGTAAGATGTGAAATAATATAATAATAGGGATTTACTTAATGTGGCACAAGGCTGTAAATATAGAGCGCCTATAGAAGATCGAGCTCACTACTCAATGCTAACTGATCTTGTAGGACAAGTTTGCTAACCATTATATTACGTAAAAGTGCTTTAAAAATATGTCTGAATTCAAAGATATTCATTCATAGGTTTAATCCCAACTACCCAAGCAAATAATTAGCACGGACCACTTGATAGCTATGCATAAAGCAATTCATAATTAACTATAAGAAAAAAGAATTTAAAAAATACTTTAGAAAACAGTAAAAATATCAAGTTTTAAAATGTCCGAACATTAACGATAAAGAATGATACTAAAAAATGCGGCAGATGGGCTAAGATAACAAACTACTGGTCAGAAGACCCTGTAAGCGTGGAAATCTAACAGTGGTAAATTGCCTTTGTCTAAGTTTTAGACATAAGACCAAAATGGCGGGAAGGGAGTAGAGGACCGAATGAATTTCGAACTGTCAGGACATCTACTGCATCCAGATTCTTTGAAGATCAGTCAGCCCGCATGCAGCGAAATATGAAACCAAGGATTTAACAGGCGTTAACTTAACCTACTCCCTTCGGATACTTACTTTAAATCGATGCTAGCAAATAATAAAGCGAATATCAACCTTTGTTGATACAGCTGTAGTACCTTAATAAATATAGTATCAACAGCAGCCTTGGGGATATAAATATCAAGCGAACACTTAAGTAGCACCCAATTCCTGTTTGTCCTCCTTTCGATGTGTGCGCCATCGACTTTTCATGCTGAAGCAAAAGATGCTTTTGATGCTTCACACAGAAACACGCTTACATAGGCAAGTCACACTCAAATATTTTCATTAACAATTTTCTTTATGTATGCAATTTACTTCCAGAAAAAAAACTCTTGAGCTTTCCTTTTGTTATTTTGTTTAATAAATGTTATCTTGCATTTCAAATCAATCTGTCTCTGTTATTTTGTGCACGTACCTTAGTGTTTACCGCCATTATTTCATGTGTTGTAAAATATTCTCGCTACAAACCTTATAGAAGTAACCAACACACTAAATAGTTTATGATGTGCCGTTCGGGTCGGAAGAACTGAAGCTAGTCGTGACACGGAAAGCAACTAATGTCGTTATTGATTGTTTTTTCCTTTCTTATGTCTATTGCTTTCTTATTACAATCTTCCGGATGTTTTACCTTACATATCTGGTGGCTTAAAATAATGAATTCTACATAAAGAAATAAACTAGGGAAAGATTTAAACTTGTCCTTATAGGTTTTGCTTTTTGGATCTGTATGCTTAACTTGTTTGTCATACTGAAAACGTTTCAACCGTTATACTCTCTTAACTTCATCAGCTCTTTTCGCTAACCTGCTCAGAATTTTTAACCGAATAATCTTTATATATAAAACTGCCGTAGAAGCATGAAAAAATCGATTATTTCCACTATCGATGGCAGTTGGGAAATGCAAAGTCGGTCTTGGCCTTTCCCCTAACTTGGAGCATGTGCATGTAAATTTTGGTGCAAATCCGTCGAAAATTGCGGCCGTGCATTCGTTACACACACACACACACACACACACACACACACACACACAGAGACATCGTGCCTTTTATAGATAGAGATATTTATTACTTTAAACGTTATTATAATGAATAATTTTATGTGAAATAGACGCCACATTTTTTTGTCAAATAAGAGTATCCACTATAATAACATTTGAAGTAATAAAAATGACGGATTAAAAATAAATCCGTTAATCTTTAGAAATATATTTAATAAATTAAAACATGCTCAAAAGATTTGTAGCAAAAAATCCTACAAAAGGATTGTGCCATCATCATTATTCTAACGAGAGGAGATATGATCTGCGGCTGATGACGTTACAATTTTTCCAAACGAATTGATAATATTCAAAAGGACTGAATTCAACACATACAACAAAAGGGTGAACAAGATGGAAAAAAAAACTATTTTGCGCCAGTCTCCAAAATTGGGAAGATCTGATTGTTTTGAAAATCATTGTTCGTAAAAGAACGTTGTTTAAGCGAATATGTCCGAATAAAGGCAAAAAATATAATGACTTAAAAAATCAAAAGAAAGTGAAAAAAAGCACATAAAGTAAGAATTACCTCGTAATTTGTGTTTGTTATGTATTTTGCATTCTTACCAATGTTTGATGTTTGGTAAAACTAAATTATTACGAATACTGATTTCCAAGGTATTTTCACGAGCCTTCACCACTTGTTTTAATCATTTCACCCCAACAAAGGCAACAAAGCCACTAAGATGCAGGAGCTTTACTGAGCGTGGAAGAATATAAGAACAAACAAACATTATTAAGGAGCGAGAACAATAAAAGAACAGAAATTAAGAAGAGAGACGATAACTATTGACACTACATTTAAATTTTTCTGGGTCAGATTTGACTGGGAAACAGGAAGCAGGAAGAGAGTTCCAAAAGCGAGAACTGCGGGAGAAGAAACTATTAGCATAGAACTTACGGTTATATCTAGCCATTTTAAGTGTAAGATGGAGAGACTGTGGCGCCTTTAAATTCATAGAGTTTAGATATCATAGTGTAAAGTTCATCACTTGATAATTTGCGCAATATTGTTTTCCCACCATTTACATTAATATTTTACTTCGCGTCATAGTAAGTTCCTGGAGTAGTAGTAGTTGTAAGCGAGTTTCGAAGTGTATTACTATTGAAATGAGTTCAATCCTAAGTGGGTTCCCTAAGATTGTAGTTTGTACCAGACCACTGTTAGCTTTGAGAATTAAAACTTAGAAAAGATTAGTAAATGTCTACCGCATAAGGTAGGTGTCTTGAATTTCTCTACAAATCGGGCTAATCAATTAGTAGATTTGGGGGGGATTAATTTTCTTTTTTTTTAATTTCTTATTTTTATGTAGACTAATCCGCGTTAATCGCATTCAAATGTTTTAATTCTTTAATCTGAAAATAGAAAGCAACAAAATGGTAATGACCATAACGAAACGACGAAAGGCATCCGGTACCTATGTCTTGTTATGATGGCATTATATTTCTTAAAAATGAAAGACAGAAAGAAAAAAAAAAAGATCTTATTCCATTTTGTCTAGTATACGATGGCCCTTATCTTAAAGAAAAAGAAATTTTAAAAAAAAAACACTTTTGAGTCTCTTGTTTTTAGTTTATTAGCTAAAGCAAAACTTGATTCGACGACCAAAAAAAAAAACGAAAAACGATCATGACAACCAAAAAATGAGAAATAATTTAAAGTAAAAAACAAATTCCAGACAAGAATATAGAGACGTTCTTTGGTGTTTATCAAATAAAAAAAAAGAAAGTTTAATACCAAATGAACTCCAAATAGAAATATATTTTTAAGACAACGGAAAAATGTACGTCTTATTTACGTGTTCACACCAATAGTAACTGCTGGTTCATATTGAAGATTAAATGACAGTAAGTCTCTCCAATAGGCCTGCATACTCTTAAGTATGCTGCTTTCGCAAATAATGTCATTTAGATCGATTGAGAGCTTCTCCTAATCCCAAATCCTTTACCTAGGCTGTTGCGGACATTTCCAAGGCCGCAGATGACAGTCGCTTTCCCATACCACAACTTCCGCGACTCTCGTGCTAGGTCAATATATCATCATTTTTTTTTTTACTTTCTTTCATTTGTATTGTGTAATATAGCATTTTTTTCTCAGGTTTACCACTCTCAGAAGTATGGACAAAGAAAATATAAAAAAATAGTCAATTTAATATCATCTTATGATTATGTTTACTATATAGTTCCTTAGCACATAGCCACGCCTTGGCATTACCTCTTAAATAACGTTTGAATCACGAGGAAAAACAGAAAAGAATTTCAGAGACGTTGTGTTAGACAAAGAAAGAAAGAATTTCAGAGAGAAGGTAACGGAAGCGACAATGCTTTCATGTGTTTAAAGTCTGCTTCAATGATAAGGAAGACTTGTCAATTTCAACACTTTTCATTTGTTTTCTCTTATTTAAATAATGACCTGCATTCAAACTTATAATTGATACTGTAGTATTTGATGTTAAGCTCAAATATTTAACGACGCAATAAAGGAATGTTCTCGGTATTTCATTGTCGTTTTTGTAACCTTGGGAAGTTTACTGAATAGAATAATCGCACGAAGGTTTGGTAATGAACAATAATATTTAG